GGGGACTACTTTGAAGGGGACAACTTGAATTTTGAAGAATAAACATGTACTTTTCTTTTTATGAATAAATTCCGGTTATTTTTTGATCATGGTAGTATGTCAACACAGCGGATTACGTATAATAAAGTTGTTACTCTTCGTATCCTCGTGTGTTTTTTCTTCTTAATAATTCTCAAAGTATTTTATAACGGCGCTATTTAATATTTAATTTTTCATAAAAGAATCTGTATACACACTCGCAACACAATTAACAATATTTTGCATCAATATTATTGTTTCGCACGTGCAAATCTTCAATTAGGATCATGCATATACGCATTTTTCAGTGTAAACGTATGTTCAAACTGAATAACGCGCTTTATTGAGTTCTCTGAAATTAGATAGAAAAATCATCGAAGAAGCAAGTCTGTAAAGGAAACACATTATTTCTACAACATTGATCCGCATAATGGAGTTAGAAAAACTATGATACACATGAACGTCTTGTGAGAAATATCGCTCCTTTGCAGACTCGAGAGTTTTCAATTAATAAATTGACATATATACCGTGTATCGGCGTTTTTCTTTTTTCGCAAAAATACACTGGCGAGCGAGCGAAGTCCAAAATTCAATAAAAGGAGGCAGGTTTCCGCAAGACGAGCAATAACATTAGGGGAAAGGGGCGAGTTAGTGAAGGCGTTTATTTTACTTTCCGGTGCTCTCCGTATATATATTGTTACGCGGGGGNCACCGCGTATGTGTCGCGGGAGCCGCCTGAACGGCGTGCGCTCGGCGCGACTGTTCGTTGCCGGGCAACCAGCGAGTTGTGGTATTTGAGAGTCGCGAGATCTGTCACGTTGCGTTTTCGGACGGCTCGTCCGTTTTCCTGTATTTCTAATTGAGATTCCATTGTAATAAAGAGTTTAATAGTAAACCGCGCTCTCTCTCATTTCCGCGGACAAGTGCGCGATCGCGGAGACCGGCGTGAGAGCTGTTTCCGACGCCGCGAGCGCAACAATATATATATATCTTCCACAAGCAGAAGCCAGTCTTTTCGGAGTCAACACACCGAGCAAAGCATTCCACGGGTCGTTTGCTGCGAAAATGCAGCATCGTACCAAGACATCGATATAACTTGGCAGTGCGTGAAAGCTTTTTTTTTTTTTTTTTTGTTCAAGGTGCAAGCCTCACCCATTCCATTCCATAACAGCGCATTCCAAGCTCCGATCACAAAACATGGAGATCGATTTTCAAATTTTTGTTCGCTTAATTTTATCTCGCAATTAATTTTAACACATATCGAATAAAAACCGTTTTACCATGTAACATCTATGGGTAAAGGACATAAATTACACACACAAAAAGTACCTTATATGGAGCGTTATGTAATTTTCTAAAAGCCGATACACACATATTAATGTAATAAATATATATCCTGAGCTTTTTTTTTTTTTTATACGTGTGTCGCTTTTCTACACACTACATGTACACATTTTTTTTTTTTGCTTTTATTTTCTTACTTTTATATATTTCTACGATATATTATATATATGTATATATAATATGTATGTTATATATATATATATATATATGCACACTAAACTTCTCCAATCACATACTTTTCCTTAACTCGACGTTATCATGCTAATACTATAAGGTGCTTAAGGAGAAAGATATTGGATTTATTTTTTCGATAATATATCTTTTTTTTATTATCACATGTAATTCGTACTTTCGTCGCATTGCAGCGGCGGCGGGGATATAACCAGTAAGCGATCCAACATCGAACATCGCAAGCTTGTGTGTGTTTTATAATGCCTTGTGCTGATGGATGTGTCGGGGGATCTCGGGGAGGTCTGTGTCCGGCGCCGAAGGTCACACACGATGTGGGACATACAAAGCCTCTGTGAACATTGTGCATTCGGCATCAGTGGAAGCTGCGTGACAAGGGTAATGAAAACGCCGAGAAATGAAAAAAAAGACTAAAAGAGGAAGAGGAAAATGAGGAGAGGTAAGGTCTTTTCGCGGGATATTTCATATTTAATCATGCTTCAACGCGATCTATCGTGTTCTCGAAATATTCCGTTAAAATAGCGCCTAAATTCGTTGACTCAATTTTTATCCAATAGTCGAAAATAGAACGAAAAAGGAGAGATGCGCGCACGAAAAAGTATACGCAGACGTATATTGATTGGCATGATATATTGAATTAGAGAAAACACGTGACGCGTGTGAGAGCAACGGAAAACTCACTTTACTTTGCTATATACTTGTGTGACATATCGCACAATATATTTCCAGTAAATTTATACAAGGTATACGAGTACACACGATGGATCGCGCGAAAAAGGAAAAGGAACATCGACTTGTCTATTCTACATTGACAGCCCAAATCAAGTCGATATCCTTGATGGAAGTCAGTTGCAAGTAGAATGTAAAGTTACGCGTGTGTGTGTGTGTATATATATATATATAATTTAGTTAAAAAAAAAAAAATTATATATATATATATACTTAAGTTGTTACATTTCTATTATAAAAAAATCTCGATAGTTGTGATTAAAAAAATTGAAGTAGTTGAAACGAAAAATAAAATTGGCGTCAAGAAAATGATTTTAAAAGGTAAGTAAAACTTTGTGTTAACTCTGGAAAAAAAATCTCTCAAACATAACTTATTAATGTGTCAAAGAAGAGCTAATGAATTCCACTTGCAACCAAAGTGATCGGGAGATCAAGAAACATAATAATGAACAAAGAATGATGGGAGGGAAACGGATTAGGCGCAATATATCAGCCGATTTTTCATTGTCAGCCTTTCAATGGATCAAGAGAGAAACAATCGATATATCACAAGGTGAATGCACTCACCGCTGCTTCGTCTTAACGCGACGATAGCGGTGATATTCCGCCGGGTCGTTGGGGTCGAAGCCCCTTCGGTGTTTCGGCGGCGAAGACATGGCGGCCGCCTTCTTAGCTTTGCCGTCAGTCGGATTAGTAGTGGTGTTGACGTTGTTGCAGCCGATGACGGCGCAGACAGTGCCGTTGTTGTTTCCGATATGTAAAGAGGTGAGCGGCGGCGGCGAGGGTGGCAACTGCTGGGCGGAGGGGCAGATGTTACTGCCGGATGATCGCTCCGGAGGGTGACAGCGGCAGCCTGGTGCTGGCGGCTCGCCAAGGACACGTTCCCCGTGACCGACGTGGCTCTGGGGCACCGCGTTCAGCTCGTGCCTGTTAACCCTACCGGCGCCCGGCCCACCCATTCAAACCCGCGATGATCGCCCGCGATGACTCCACCTCTCCGATCTCCGTAGCTGCTCCTGCCAACGATCCCGCGCACCTTTCGCTCGCTTTCAATCGGCGCCGATTCACGGCTCTTCTTCTTCTTTTCAACTTTAGGTTCACCGATCCGCGACACGCTCTGCGGACGCGGCGAATATGACCACGACGAAGGTACCGAGGATGTATTGCCGCGTAGCCGGGTAAGAACCCGGCACGCCGGCTTGTCCAGCCTCATACACGCGCCACCACGACTAATCATCTATCTCCTTTCTCACCCTGACTCGTGCGCACCAGTCATTCGACTTCCGGTAAGTAGATTGAGAGAACGATGCGTTCGATATACGAGGACCAGAGACGAAATAGAAGCACCGAGAATATGACCGAAGTGAAATGACGACGGTTAAAATCCTATGTAACGAAAGGAAAAAAAACGCGCGACAACAACGTGCACGATGACGGCGCCCGATGCTGAGATGCGATCCTACTTCCGTCCCGCGATCACGCCGACTCACTCAACGAGACGCGACGCAACCCCTCGCATCCCTCTGCATCCTTCGGCTGTGATACGCCCCTATCGCCACCGAGCGATGGCAGCACCGTGGTGCGCGTGTATGTGGTACGTTGCAACAAGGTGCGGAAATTGGGAAAGGGCGGCGACGGCTTCTTGGCGTGTATCAAGTGAAACAAGAAACAAAAACTGATCATCACGTAAGACGAATCAAAACATGATGACATGAATCATTGAATTTGATCAAACCGTGAAGAAATCTTATTGAATCACCAGAGTCACACGACCACAACTTCGTCGGCTGCGGTTGAAACACACTTAGTCTTAGTCATTGATAAGTAAGTCTGTCTGTTGAATACGTCAATTGACGGGATATAACGTAATTGGATATGTAGAAATACGATTAGCGGAATAGGCTAGGAAAATCCAGGTGACACGGAAGTTGAGTCATACCGCATGAACACGCTGTCTTCGATTCTAACGTGCCACTACAATCCCATCCCCTTTGCGCCCGCGCGCCATGTTCCTGATTTTCGAAGAAAGCGATTGGTGGCAGCACCGCGTTACACGAGGCGCCAGACTAGTATAGGCGATCAAGAAGGGTTGCGAGGGGATGAAACGCGCGTTCCACAGACTGGAACAGGGGCAGTGGGATAACCTCGATTAGTCGGTGGTAGATGTGCGAACAGGTCGACACGCCAATCTGATAATATGTCACCTTTCTCAGCCACGCACGCATTTTCCCAACAAGTCATAACAAACAATTTTATAAATCAATTTTTTCTCACTTCTTTGCTTTTTTTCTCTTTTACTCTGATTGTAGTAACTCATAATGCAGCTAATAAAACATTTATTTTGGAATAGTAATATTATATTTTTTCTATGCGTAATGCAATCTAAAATTAATAGCATTTTGTTTTAATTGTTAATTAATACACTCTTAAAAAATTTTTTTTATATTATATATATTTGTGGTTTTTGATA